CAACGGAAAATATGCAATTCTAAAGTTGTGCGGTGCAATCTTCCTTAAGAATATCATACGGATTTTTCCCTACTTCGATCTTGCCATCACGTATTTTGTCAAAATTAACGTGTGTTAGAGGGATTGTCAAGGGAATCGACTCGGGTATGTTAAGGCTATCCCTTCTTTCTTTTTGGCATGATTTATACGACACGAACGAAACGAGTAAATGCACAACTTCCATAAATGACTCTATTCATAGAAGTATTAGAGATGCCTATGTTCTCTAATTCCCATATGTCTTATCATTTTATTGTCTGTTCATGGATCTCAGAAAATATGTAAGTTGATAAAGTTTGTTTTATGATATTAATCAAAGGCAAAATGGTTTTATGACACTCCGAAAGATTTTATTGACGTACTTCTCATGCATTGTATTAATTTATTCATATATATTGACCCATGACCAGACGGCGTTATATACGCGTATATAAGTATGTATATGTATATGGGATATGGGAAAAGGTTACGTCGTTATATACGCACCACCACCTGATCAGCTGGTATACGTTGATGGTTTTTTCCATTGTGGCCGAGATGATATAATGGGATGCCCTCAGAGGCTTGATGTTGTTATGAACACATCTACCTATCCACGACATGATATTCATACACATATGCATGACACTATAAGTATTTCATGATTTACAGAGTTATCCAGACTTACAGGTTGAGTCATTTACTCTATATTTCTTCCATGTCTTTTATGTACTTATTTATGTGCCTTACATACTCGGTACATTATTTGTACTAACGTCCCTTTTGCCTGGGGGCGCTGCGTTTCATGCCCGCAGGTCCCGATAGACAGGTCGAGAGTCCTCCAAGTAGGATATCAGCTCAGCGGAAGATGTTAGTGCGCTCCATTTGCTCCGGAGTTGCTTGTTTGGTCAGTATGATTTAGACGCATATTGTTTGGTATGGCGGGGCCCTGTCCCGACTTTTATGTTAAGTGTGTAGTCTTAGAGGATTGTAGATAAATTTCATGTATACGAATGCTTGTATGGCCTTGTCGGCCTATGCTTTGAGTTTACAAATGATCATGTTGGCCTTATAGGCCCGTATATCACATGTATAAGTTTTTATATCAGGTTGGGTCGTCCTATTTTGAGTATTCCCCTATGTTTATTCTGTTTAGCCCATGATGGCCCGTTTGGCCCACTTGCCAATGAAAGTACAATAAGAAAGATATGTTATGTTGGTACTCGGTTAAGTAAGGTAACAAGTGCTCGTTGCAGCCCACAGGTTTGGGTCGTGACAATACTTAGGCATCTCGGGCATACAAAACCTCTTGGGGATTGGCTACGGAGCCGCACTCGGGGGGAAAGGTTTTTGTACAAACTTTTTAGAACCTAGTCCTTCCAATATCGGTTGTGCCCTCGGGATTTGGTCAACCCTGAAGTTATAGGATTTTTACCTTCTTGTCGTTTTCCTCGATCTTCTTTTCCCCTGTCTCAATTCGCTTTGTCAGTTCTTCGAGCATCTTTATGTTAGAAGGATTGGTCTCCGACTCCTTCTCGTTTGACTTTTTCAAAATCGATTCGACCCTGTGTATGATTTCCTAGGATGGCTCGGGTTTGACCCCGCTCGATGTGTGGTTCTGATTTTGGAGCTGGGCTATTGCTGCCTGTTGAGCCTGCAACATTTCGAAGATTACCCGCAGGCTTATCCCGCCACATGCACTTTAAGTAGCTGATCGGGCATCCCCGCGGATGCTGCTTTCGGGATCGACGGCCAAATTTCCATTGATGGCTACATGTGAACCGACGTCGATTGGATCTACAACAGGAATTCCATCGAGGCCTGCAGGGAGTGCAACATTTCCTGGTGCAATGTTCTCATTTTCTCGTGGTGGCCAAGATCATTGTCAATGTGTTGAGGTGCTGACTGAGAGTTTGACATTTTTAACCCAGCAATCAAAGATACTTTAAAGAACAATTGTAAAACAGTGTGTGTTACGAAAGTTTGTACCAGGTAACCACTATTATCCTTAGCCCCACGATGGGCGCCAAACTGTTTACCCTAAAATCGGATAACAATTGAACTTATACGCGATTTTAAGAATATGTGATATAACTTGGTACAGATTAAGAAGAATAAGCAAGTATTGAAATAGACAATTAAAGAATAAATGCAAACCACACAAATTGTATAGTCTTGACCCTCGAGTTCGGTCACCCTTGAACCAAATATGTATCAACTGGCTTAAGAACAGAATAACAAAACAATGATAACTAGAGAATGAAAGTATATTGTGTTGTATTGCGTGAATATGATGTGTTTACAAATGATTAGACTCCCCTTTATATAGTAGGGGAGTCCTACTCTAAGTACAATTCTATATGAGGTAAGAAATACCATGGCTGGCTAATTAATCGGCCTCTTCTTGATTCGTGACAGGATTCGCGCCGTGATCCTCACCCGATTGCGGATATCTCGTCTTTCCGTTATTCGACTCGGTAGGCTTCCCTCGATCTCTATCTTGTTCGGTTTCGATCTCGGTCGACCTCGATCTTGATAGATCTCGATCTTAATCGGTCTCAGGGCCACGAGCTCGGCAACCTAACTTTGCATCATAGTTTGAATAATACGAGGCTGAACCTTGGCTTATCGCGCTCCACTCTCGATCAGCCATACAAAAAGGGCAAACCCGAATTTGACCGTATATATTATATTAAGATAATTTTGATTTTACTGCGAATAAACTAGGTTCGTGGTAATAGAATTGGGAAGAAAATAAACTTATCATTTTTTCCGTCTAATATTCGTTAAATATTACCTTATGTGAGTAACTATATGACTATCTCATTTCACTTGGATTTGACATATAATTTATAGCTTCAAAGCTTCATATTTGATATTCATATTGCTCACAAAGGTACCTTTGGACTATGGTGAGTTACTCAAACTTTTTTCTTAGTATTGAACAAAAAAGGAATAAATATGTTTTCTTAATTTTTTTCATCCTCGACCTTTGATATGATCAATGGCTTAATTCATCGAATCGGCCGCCTAGAGTTTATCATTTACAATTTCATTATTTTCGTATAAGTACAAACAATTAAATTGTAGTTGAGACTTCTATTGTTGGACAACTTATATGATAAAAATAATAAAGCTAAAATTTTTTTTCTTTTTTTGTTTCTTAAACTCTGGCCCAAAGAAAGAGAGAAAGAAAATAACACTTAGTGAGATATTTTAATGAAGCTAAAATATAGTTTAGTGAAAGCTAAAATTCTCTCTTTTTTTTTCTTATTTGTGTTTGTTTAAGGTGCTCTAGGTTAGATTTTGCTGTTGAATCTCCTTTTATTTTGCTCAATTGCTCCCACAGACCTCACGCAGTCTAATTGTCTCTCACATACTTGATGTCGTGAATTTAATTAATCTAAAAAATTGAATGGGTATGAGCCCTCTTTTAACCCTTACACGTCAGAAATATCTTTCATTTGTTTTTTTTGTTGAGTGTCCTCACTTATACATATAGGCACTTGTAACAGCTTTGGAAAAACTTGTGGGCAGCATGTACATCGTCAGAAACAATGAGATACTATGAGATATTGTTTAATGAACCTGCTCAAAAGGTACACATCTTACTAAATTATGTATTGTCATTGCTATGATCTTTTTTCAGAATATTACTGAATTTATGAAAAACATTATTATTGAGAAGATCGAAGCTCGAAGTGCAGCAATGAGTTCAGCCATGACTCCCATGGCAGTTAAGGAACTTTCCAGAACAATGTGAAGAAATGAAAATGAATAATGGCTCAAAAATCGGCATTTGATTGAGAGTAGTACGCATATATATACACACTCATGTACAGCTGTCAACTCACCTAAAACAAACTCAAACCACTAAGTAGTCCGCTAACTAACTCGACTCAACTGACTTGAACCGGACCGCCTAACTACTCTGAACCGGAAGAGAGAAAATAATGAAAGAAGAAAAAATAATGAAAGAATACACTGTAAAACGAACTAATAAATATCTCAATACCCCCCTCAAGTTGGAGGTGGTGAAAACACTGCCAACTTGGCTAATACACCTGAATGTTTTATGCCAGTTAGAGCTTTGGTAAGAATGTCTGCGAGTTGTTGATCAGTGGTGATGTGGTGCAATGAAATGAGGCCTTCTTGCAACTGTTTTCTCACGAAGTGACAATCTACTTCAATGTGCTTAGTCCGCTCGTGGAATACTGGATTTCTTGCTATGTGTAGGGCTGACATGCTATCACAAATATTGAAATTGGATGTATAGATGGGACTTTCAGTTCAGTAAGAAGTCTGCTTAGCCATGCTAACTCACCAACTAGTTTCCTGAGACACCTATACTCTGCCTCTGCAGAAGATAAGGAAACAACCTCTTGCTTCTTGGACTTCCAGCTGAGTGGACTGCTTCCCAATAAGACAATGTACCCACTAACAGACCTCCTTGTATCTGGACAAAAGGCCCAATCTAAATCACAAAAGCCCCTGACAGTCCAGTCTGCAGACTTGGACATGAGAATGCCTAAGGTAGATATGAAGATAAGTAGTGGGCAGTCTATTTACAATATGAGTTGCTGTCAAGATACATCCCCCCCCCCCCTATTTCAAAGGTAATTTGGACTGAAAAAGCAAAGCTCTAGCTGTTTCAAGAAGGTACCTATGTTTCCTTTCCACCACTCCATTCTGTTGTGGTGTGTAAGGACAAGTTCTTTGGTGGATAATACCCTTGGACTGGAAGAAAGCACTGGTCTCTTGGTTATTGAATTCTAATCCATTATCTGATCTAATGGACTGGATCTTGGTTTTAAATTGATTTTCCACAAGTGAGATGAAGGTTTTTATTGTCTGTAGTGCATTACTTTTGCAGGCTAGAAGTTGAATCCAAGTAGTTCTGCTAAAGTCATCTACTATAGTGATAAAATATCTGCATTTGTCGTGAGTATATTCATGATAGGGTCCCCATAGGTCCACATGGATCAATTCAAAGTTTTTGGTGGAGGTACTAGCCTTTTGTAGAAAGGGAAGTCTTGTTTGTCTGGCCATAGGACAAATTGTGCACATAAATGGTTGTTTTTGGGAAAAACAGCAGGAATGTTAGAAATATGTTTCATTTTTACAAATGGCACATGACCAAGTCTGTTATGCCACAGTATGTCTACACCATTGGAAAAACAAAATGCAGATTTGGACAAGCTATCATTTAAAGAAGAAGAAGTAAAAGAAGTAGGATTGTTTTTCATTTGCTTCAGAAGTGACTCATTTACAGATGAGGACATATGACTTTGAGTATTATTCAAGAGAGGACTGTTTACATCACATGAATGATTGAAGGTCACAGAAGTATTATTGTTCCTTAGGCATTTGGAGCAGAGCAGGTACAAGCCATTCCTCACTTTACCAATCTCCAGAGGCCTCTTCACTGAAGGGGCCTGCAGAAGACAAGCATTGTCAGTGAAAGATGCCATTCCTCTGAGGTGTTTGGTTAACCAATAAACAGAAACTAGATTGAATTTGAAAGAGGGAATAAAGAGAACTTTCTGTAATACTATCTTAGATGTGAGGACAACATCACCAATCTCAGACACTTTAACTTTATATCCATTGGGTAGAACTACTAGAAGAGGGTAAGGTAGGATTTGAACATTGGACAATAGGGATTTATCAAAGGTCATGTGGTTGGAAGCTCCTGAATCCAGTATCCAAGTATCAGCCTTGGACTCAAAGCATTTGCAAGCAAGTTTACCAAAATCAATAGAAGATGTGCATACTATCATACCTGCAAAGTTAGCAGCATTGGATGAGTAAGGGCTTCCTGTTGCTTTCCCTGCATCTCCATTCCTCTCATGAAATTATTGAAGCATACTTATCAGCTGCCCATATTGCTCTTGAGTAAGACTCACATTTTTACCATCATCTTGTGCCTTGTTTTCAGCTTCCTCCCCAGTAGTGATCTCATCAGTTATTCCCTGCACATTTGCCACTACTCTTTTTCCTTTATTGTTGTTGTATCTAGGGCCTTGATCATAATTGCGGCTATTAGAGAATTGTCTAGGGCCAGGGTTCTGAGCAGAAAAATTCTGTGGATAACCATGTAACTTGTAACACCTATCCTTGCTATGCCCTGGTCTTTTACAGTAGTCACAAATGAGTCTTCCCCTAGAAAGCCCACGATTGTTGTCAACTCGAAAATTTGTTCTAAAAGAGTTCTGCCCTGAGCTTCCTACATTCAATGAGGCTGAGTCCACAATTAGGTGATTGTTAGGTCTAATCTCCCTTTGTTTCCCATCCTGAACTAACGCTGAGAAGGCTTGTGCTAGATTGGGCAAAGGATTCATCATAAGTATACTACCTCGAACCACTGTGTACACTTCATTCAATCCCATGAGAAACTGTATTAATCTCCTATCTTGTTCAGCCTTATACATGTTCTCCTTCGCTCCACAGTTACAAATGCAATTGCACTGATTCCTTTTGCTCAAAGTAGCAAGTTCTTCCCAAAGCTTCTTCAATTTAGTGTAGTATGTAGTAATGTCCAGGTTTCCTTGGGAGAGATCATTGATCTCCTTTTGAATTTGATACAGTCTAGCTCCATTAGTTTGCTCATATCTATCCTCCAATTCCTTCCTAAGTTCAACAGCATCGCTTGCATATTCTACACTATCTGCAATTTCCTTAGAAAGTGAATTTAGAATCCAAGATGTCACCATATTGTCACAACGTTCCCACTGTCGAAATTAAGGTGATGAAGCATCTGGTTGTTTACACTCCCCGCTTATAAAGCCCAGTTTATTCTTCACAGACAAACCTCTTAACACACTTCTCCTCCAAGACCTATAGCCTATACCATCGAATACAGTCGAAACTAACATAGCTCCTGGGTTGTCAGATGGATAAAGATATAAAGGATCACTAGGATCTAGTCCTGTGACCATCGGAGTGACAGTTGCAGCAGTCTCAGCACCAGTCAAATCGGCTTGATCAGTTATAGCCATGATTAATAATCAGAAGGTGATAGAGAAAGAAAATTGAAAGAGTTTCAACTCTCAACCAATAGAGAATTCGATAACGAGCAGATCAAATGAAAAATCTAGATCAGATTTAATGAAGTAACAAAAAAACGCACTGAAAAACAAAGAGAAACAGACGAGAAGCGATTGCAGAGGCGAGATCTATCCGCGAGATCAACCTCGCTCTGATACCATGAGAAGATCGAAGCTCGAAGTGCAGCGATGGAGTTCAGCCATGACTCCCATGGCAGTTAAGGAACTTTCCAGAACAATGTGAAGAAATGAAAATGAACAATGGCTCAAAAATCTGCATTTGATTGAGAGTAGTACGCATATATATACACACTCATGTACAGCTGTCAACTCACCTATAACAAACTCAAACCACTAAGTAGTCCGCTAACTAACTCGACTCAACTGACTTGAACGGACCGCCTAACTACTCTGAACCGGAAGAGAGAAAATAATGAAAGAAGAAAAAATAATGAAAGAATACACTGTAAAACGAACTAATAAATATCTCGATAATTATATTTTTGCTCCTGAAATACAAGTGTCTGATGCAAATTTGATTTAGTCAATTGATATAGAGTATAATAAAAATGAAAAAGTGAATTAACTTATAATTCAATCATGCTTCCTCATTGATAGTTTGAAGGTTTTGTATAGTCATGTAAAACAACGAGGTGCTAATATTGCATTGACTTTTTGAAACACTTCATGATACATGGCTAAGTGAATCTTGCAATTTTGTAGCGATGTTTTCGATGATCTTGCCGTGACTAAAAGAGAGGCCAAGATTGTTTTAAAATATTTATTGGTTATTAGCAATAAAAATAACCTTTCGGAGACATTTGATATAATTAACCGTAAAAAAATAATATGTTTTGTTTATTCCATAAAAGCCGACCATTTTATCTTGATTAATTTTTTGTTTGTTTATAAGGATAATCCAAAATAATTTATTTTTAATATGAGTTCCACTTTTAACAGCTTATGTACCTGTGAGCCGTGTTTCATAAGTGATTTGAATGCCATTATATCCTACAGTAGATATTCTCGACCAAGAAGAACAAAAGAAGATAGAAGCAGGAAAAGAATAATTAATCCAGAGTAGAATCAGACTAACTTAAAAAGTCTATCAGCATTGTGAAACCCATTCATTTTGGTGCATAATTCATATTCAATTGGGACGCATAGGTGCTTTTTGTGGTTTCAGGGGTATTTGTGGCTGACATCCCCACTGTGTTTTGATTTTTGAGAACTAAATATTGCCATGTTTGGCTTGGAGCATTTGTTTTGAAGGTAAGGTTATGATGCTAACTAATCTAATCTTGCTCCTATGCTTCATTTATTTTTTCCATGCAAAATATATATTCTATATAGGAAATATACATAAATCTTAGGTTTAACGCCTATATTTGACTTATTTAATAGCATATAGTAGAAACACCTAACTTTATTGGGATGGAGAAGCAATAAGCGCAATGAGAATTTCCAACATTCCTGAATGAGGCTACTTAATTTGGTTTCATGTCTTTTGTTGGAGAAGAGGCAAATCACTCAAAGACTAAATTCATGCAGTGGGAGAGTAAATGGTGACTCCGTCCTACTATCATTGTTCTTGGTGCTCTAAGTTAATAGTTTCTACCTTTGTATGAGCAAAGTTATCCTTGCTATATTTATATTTTCTGCCTCATACTTTCGGAACAAATTTGTAATTACAAGATACACTGAGAGCTGGTGTTTCAAATAGGTAAAATAATAAATGTATGCTGAAGTTGTGTAACGACTCGGCCGGTTGTTTTGATAGTTGTAGCTCTGTTCCTCCATTTACTGCTCATTCCCTGCTTAGTTGTTGCTATGTGTCGTGTCGGGGTAGTTGGCTCGGGTCCGGAGAGGTTTCGAAAAGAATTGAGACACTTAGTGTCAAGGTTGGAAGCTTAATTTGAAAAGGTTGACCGGATGTTGACTTGTGTGTAGATGGCTCCGGATGGGATTTTCGATGGTTCTGTTAGCTTTGTGGGGTGATTTTGGACTTAGGAGCATGTCCGAATTGTGATTTGGAGGTCCGTAGTTGAATTAAGCTTGAAATGGCGAAAGTTAAAAATTTAGAAGTTTGACCAAGAGTAGAATTTGTGGTTACCGGGCTTGGATTGGATATCGATTTGGTGTTGGATTTTGGTAAGTTTTGTATGGTTGGACTCGTGGTTGAATGGGTGTTTGGAGTATTTGACTTTTACCCGATTCTGAGAAGTGGGCCCGGGGCCCGTCTTTTGAGTTTTGATTAAGAACTTACTATTTTCTTATGGAATTGATTCCTTTAGCCTATGTTGATTGTATAGAACTGTTTGTCGCTAGATTCGAGGCATTCAGAGGCCGTTTCGCGAGGCAAGGGCGTGTTAGAGTAGAGATTTGTACGGTTTGAGGTAAGTAACACTTCTAAACTTGCTTCTGAGGGTATGAAACCCCGAATTATGTGTTATGTGATTGGTGTTGAGGTGACGCACATACTAGATGATGGGCGTGTGGGCGTGCACCATAAGAATTGTGACTTGGTCGATTCCACAGAACTACATAGTTGATTTATCTTGCCGTTATTCGTATTTTCATCATATGTTAAAGAAATTAAACTGCTAGTCATCTTAGAAATCATGCTTAGGCTATGTGTTGGTACCGTAGGGACCCGCATAGGTCGTGTTATATGTTGAGTTATTTGTTAAACTATCATTTTGTACTCAGTCATAGCTTTTACTACATATTATATCTCAGTCTCTGTTGTCCTTTATTGATATATTATATCTTTATTGTTTGGGCTGATTATCATGATTCTTGAGAGCCCGAGAGACTGGAGAGATTGATGACTGAGTGAGGCCGAGGGCCTGATTGTGAGGATATTTATGGGAGCGGGCTGCACGCCGCAACATGTTATTTTGATTTATGCCATGAATGGCTTATTATAGCTTTTGGTCTAGAAATGCCCCTCCGGAGTCTGCACATCTACAGTGAGCAGAGGTACTTACTCAGTGGGAGTGCAAGTGCCGAGCGACTTGGAGGATTGAGTGACTGTGAGGAATGAGTGACATGTGACGTTGGAGTGAATATGAGGACTGAGTGACTGTTATTATGCATCTGATTTCATTACTGTTGTACTTCAGTTGGCATATATCACTGTCACATAGTTACAGAGTTGTACTATATCATGTTTCAATTGAACTTGACATAAATTAATTGTTTTGGCTTTAACTGTCGAACTTGAGAGCGTGCCTACTTTCTTGTACTGTATTTTTGTAATTGAACTGCACCCATGAAGCTCGTCACTAATTTCAGTCCAATAGTTAGTCTTGTTACTTAATGAGTTGGTTATACTCACACTACAACCTGCACTTCGTGTGCAGATCCAGATGTTTCCGGACATGATGGGTGCTGATTATCACAGCAGCTTGATCATTTTGAGATTTCGAGGTAGCTGCCCGGCGTTCGCAGACCTTGACTCTCCCTCCCCAACTTTCAGGTTTATGTATTTAGTTATAGCTTTTTTTCATAGATAGTATTTTCAGACTTGTGTTGTATAGACGCTCATGTACTCAGTGACACCCTGGTTTTGGGGGATTTTTGCGTTGAATTTTGACCCATATATCCAGTTTATGAAAGTTTTACTTATTCCAACATGTTTTTAGTTCATCTTTTATCTAAAAGAATTGGAATTTATCGAGTTGTCGGCTTGCCTAGTACCATGTTAGGCGCCATCACGACAAGCTACGTTTTGGTTCGTGACAAGTTTGTATCAGAGCCTAGGTTACGTAGGTCTCACAAGTCTTGAGCAGGTTTAGTAGGATCTTGCGGATCGGTACAGAGACGTAACTACTTACTTCGAGAGACTGCTGAACCCTTAGGAAACTTCACATTCTTGTATTCTTGTTGTGAGGATTAGTTGATTCCAGTAACTAAACTTCTGTTATTCTATTCTATTACAGTTGTTGAGGAGACATGCTATCGAATAGGATGGACAGCCACCGGTACCACCAGCTAGGGCCACGAGAGGCCGAGGTCGCGGTAGGGGCTGCAGTAGGGGAAGAGGTACAGCTTGCACAGCAGCTAGGGCAGCACCTGCAGATCCACTAGTTGCTCCAGCTTAGAAGCAGGTACCAGATATGATTAAGCCAGTGGGGCCAGCTCACGCACTATTTGTGCCCATTGTGATTCCAGGCATTCATGAGGCCATGGCTCAGATTTTGACTGTGTGCACCAGCCTTGCTCAGGTGGGTTCTGTTCAGACCGCACCTGACACTTCACGGGCCAGGGGAGGTACCCAGACTCCCGCCGCCCGTACTCCAGAGCAAGTGATGCAGGGACTTCAGACACCGAGGATACTACTAGCCCAGCCGGTTGTAGCTGCTCAGGCCTAGGTGGGTCTCGTTATGACTGATGATGAGCAGGGGAGACTAGAGAGTTTTGGGAAGCTCCAGCCTCCATCTTTTAGTGGTGCTGAGTCAGAGGAACCCAGGATTTCTTGGACTGGTGACAGCGGATTCTTGTACGGTGAGTATTCTGGAGACTAGTGGGGTCTCGTTCACAACTTTTCAGTTTACTGGGGCTGCTTTCAGATGGTGGGAGGCCTATGAGAGGCGCAGGCCAGTCGGTGCAGCACCACCTGCATGGCATGAGTTATCCGTTCTCTTCATGGAGAAGTTTGTGCC